AATTCTACTATAATGTATCTTTATTTTAAATTACTGCTGTTCACAATTCTTACTTTGTCTGCTATGAGAAAACGAAATTGGTACAACTAACCGTAACTATGACTCGATCGTAGTTTGAACAAAAGGTCGCATGTGAGTTCGGAGAATTATTAATCAGATCGAATAAACGTGAATTCACTGTAATAGACTTTTATTTCAGATACAATGAGTCACTAAGAACATATGGAGAGGTTACAAGCTAGGATATTAAATATTCAAATACTACGACGATTTTGCTACACGGAATCGAGTTAAAAATATTTTTCATAATTTATTTAAAATGTACGCTATTTAAATAGTAGAGATATAGCAATCACATAGTTATTATTATCGGAACTGGCCCTCGTGAAAGAAACGTCACTGCCGAAGCCGTCTTCGAGTTTATCATTTTATTTCTCGATGAATATAAGAATTATTGGAAAAATATAAATACAGAAGGACATTTAATGATATTCTGCATGTACTTACCGGTGAAAATATCTTTGTAGATCTTCATGGTGGAAGATGGAGAAAGATTGAATTACAGCTACACTAAATAACACTCAGTCACCCTGAAAGAGCGGACAGGAAGGGAGTGCAGTGTCGAAGTTACAACTACTTCACTGCGTTTCTCGGCGTCTCCCACTCCGCCAACACAATGGAACTAAAGTTCCGTTATGCGAAGAGTCTATCTTCTTTTAACAGACGTTTTTTAATTGAGCATTGAATTATGACATAATTCTAATAATCAATTAGCTATAATTCTTGCATTTTTTATTTTATATTTGCATTTTTTACAATTTCAAATTCAAACGCTTATTCATGCGGACGCGTCGTAATTTATCATTGTGTAGAGGGCGCGCCTCCGCGCGTCGTTCCTCGCACCCTCGCAATTCGCAATCCTAGCGGCCTGAAGTCACTCTACTTCCGGTATTCATGAAACGAGGACACGTGTGCGTGATGTTATTTTGAGTGCGTTTTTCTATTTAACAAATTGATTTTGTTTTACGTCTCGAACGACTTCGAGGATAATAAGAGTTTTGTTGAGTACACACGCCGCGTACAAAGTGACGAAAATGGAGAACGGGCAAGCAGAGGCTAAAGTAGAAACGTCGGCGAACGACGCTGTTGACGGTCACGTTAAGACCGAGAAGCCGGTCGCCAAGGACGGAGAAGATGCCGCGAAGAAACCGGCCGAGGAACCGTCCGCCGAACTGTTGGAGAAGATCAAAAATCAGATCGAGGTATTATTACATAAAATAGCTGATCGAGTCTAGCAATAAAATGGCCGTGTTTACGGCCGCTTATATAGCATATAACATATATATACATTCACTATGAAATTGAATTCTTCTGTATAAAATAAATAAAAATCGATCGTTCATTAATTTTGCGGGACCTGGAAATGTTTGCAGTTCTATTTTGGAGACGTAAACATGCACAGGGATAAATTTCTCATAGAGCAAACGAAGCTGGACAATGGTTGGGTACCAATGAGTGTGATGTTAACTTTCAAAATGTTAGCCTCCATGAGTAAAGACGCTGACGTAATACTGAAAGCGATTGAATCAAGCGATCTGATGGAAGTATCGGAAGATAAAAAGAAAATCCGTCGCTCTCCAAACCACCCATTGCCAGTATACAATGAGGAATATAGAAAGGCACAAGAAGCTAAGACAGCTTATGTGAAAGGATTTCCATTACAAGATACTAATATTGAGAAACTAAAGGCATTCTTCAAAGATTTCGAACCATTTGAGAATATTGTTGTATGTATCGTGACTTCCACTATCCATTTTTTTAAAAAAATACGAGGAAACTTGAGAAGAAGTGTTTTCAGACCGTTTTCTTGTTTGATTAGATGAGGAAGTACCAAGATAAGGATAAAAAGCTGCAGTTCAAAGGATCTATTTTCGTACAGTTCAAAACGTTAGAAGATGCGAAAGCTTTCATGGCCAGGGAGTCGGTAAAATACGGGGATACCGAATTGATTAAAAAGTGGTCGTAAGTGAATTTCATTAAGAAACTATGATTAGATAATTAGAAATATATTAAAATCGTATGAAAAATATAGAGTGGACTATACCTTGGAAAAGGCACAGGAAAGGGAAGAAAGGAGGCAAAAGAAGACGACGACGACGAAATCAATGAAGGCAGACTCGGTTAGTATGATAAACTATAATACAATTTATTTATTATATCAGTCGTCTGTATTTGGTCATTTTTCATTTGATTTAAGACTGCGGAGGCTGAAGGCGATGAAACGACTAAAGTTGATGAGAAGGAATTGCCGAAGGGTAGCATAATGCACTTTTCTGATGTACCTGAGGAATGTACTTGGGAGGCTATTAAAGAGAATTTAGGGAAACTAGGTGCTAATATCGCGTACGTCGATTTTAAGATGGGTGATAAAGAAGGCTGGGTTCGCCTGCAAGGGGAAAATGCTGCGAAGACTATAATTGATAAAATGACAGACAGCAAAGTATTAATTAATGACAAGGAAGTTGTCTGTCGCGTACTGGAGGGCGAAGAAGAAGAGAAATACTTGGCGAAGACGAAAGAAAAGATGGCCAGTGCCTGGCAGAAACTTAAAGCAAAGAAAGGAAAGAAAGGTTCGTATAATAAAAATTTTAAACTTCTAAATTAGAATTTTTGTAATGATGTCTTGCCATGCTAATACCGAGAGATCAGAATATTTCATTTCTGGATTTCGATGAGTTAAATCTCTCGATTATACTGAATTCACTGAAAACTAAGAATAACACGCGCTCGATTAAAATAAGAGTAAACAGATCTCGAAATTATTTTACAGGTCGCAACTCGCATCGGGGTCAAAGGAAAAGGCGTAACAGCGATACCAACGATCCTGTGGCTTCTAAGAAGACGGCCCTTGAGAGTCATTGAGCAATCAAAAATCTGTGCTGCACTTACTCCACTATACGTGTATATCAACCATATTTTTATTATAAGACACATACTTATGTATAAAAAAGAAAAAGAAAACAAGATCGTTACACTGCTATGTGTTTAAAGTAGGCATCTACTTTACAAGCATATTTTTCGTTACGCTTAAGCAGTGTCTATTATTTAAGGAGATAAGAGTACAATTCCGTTTATACTTGTAAGATGTATATTTCATAGCGACGTGTATGTAACTTGACCAACACTAATCGTTTATCGATTAGAATATTAAGAATCATAGTCAGATTAATATTTTTCGTAAGCTGATGAGTGTTCGTGTATCATGGAAGATCATGTTGTGAGGAGAGTTTGATCTCGTGGCAAGTGAAATGACAAACCTGATAGACTTTCAAAGTGATTGTAAGGAGTGCTATATTTCTCTTGTAGGCAGATCGTCCAACCACGAAGAAAACAGTGTTTTAAGTTGTATCCGTAGAGTTATTAAATACATTGTTTCTGGAAAAAATAAATAACATATCTAGTTGATCACTGATAGAGTTCTCAATTTTCGGGAATTCGAATTTTGCGGACAGTCTCGAAACTAGGAGTTCTGATATTATAATACGATTCCAGAGTCCTAATTAAATCTCCCAAAATTTCAGGTGGTTGGACAGTTTCGGGAATCCGGATTCTATGGGACCGCGATAGTTTCGAACAAAGTCGGGAGAAGCCCGGAGGTCTGACAATATAATACAACAGAGAAAATTTTCTCGGATAATACTACGATTTTATAGTACTAATAAATACAACTTTCCGTTTTATTCCAAGGCTGACCCAAACCCGCAATCTTAGGTAGTTCGACACTTTTGAGAGTCTGGATTCTATTGGACTGTTTCGAACAAAGTTGGAAGAAACCCCGAAGTCTGACAGGTAATACTACGATTTTAGAGTAGTAATAAAAATTACGTTTTGCTTCTTCCAAGGGTATTCGTTGTAAAAATAATAGACCGAGCATCCAATGTATTTTTATTTAACTCATAAAAAATAGGAAAAAGTTGCTTTATATGAGATTCTGTCTTCTATCTCAGCGATAGGAAGAAAAATTGTTCTATTAATATTTTTTCTCCCATTCGCTTTCGAATCTCCCATTTGGGTGCTCAATCATACCATCCCCGCACTCTTAGTTAAGGAAATGATAGAAATCGGAAGCTCGTATGTATTTAGAAATCAGCGTTTTATTGTTTTACAGTGAAATTTACAAAGGTGGTCTAATCTACTATATTTAAATTTCACTGGTACGTGCTCGATAATCCCGTTCACACAATTAACGAACAGTTACAAAGTGCTGGCGATTTGAACCATGTTGCCTCACCTCGTCACCCTTTCACATTATTGGAAATGATCGAAATCGATAGTACAGTTACGCGACACCGTGCATAGTATGATTGCTACCTAAATTACAATGTTACGTTTAATCGTACCCATACACATCCCTCGGTTCGGAAAATGCGTACAATCGATTGGATAGACTCCTCTATATCAAACAGACTCTTATCCCTTTTTTTTTTTTAGACCGAGCATCCAATGTATTTTTATTTAACTCATAAAAAATAGGAAAAAGTTGCTTTATATGAGATTCTGTCTTCTATCTCAGCGATAGGAAGAAAAATTGTTCTATTAATATTTTTTCTCCCATTCGCTTTCGAATCTCCCATTTGGGTGCTCAATCATACCATCCCCGCACTCTTAGTTAAGGAAATGATAGAAATCGGAAGCTCGTATGTATTTAGAAATCAGCGTTTTATTGTTTTACAGTGAAATTTACAAAGGTGGTCTAATCTACTATATTTAAATTTCACTGGTACGTGCTCGATAATCCCGTTCACACAATTAACGAACAGTTACAAAGTGCTGGCGATTTGAACCATGTTGCCTCACCTCGTCACCCTTTCACATTATTGGAAATGATCGAAATCGATAGTACAGTTACGCGACACCGTGCATAGTATGATTGCTACCTAAATTACAATGTTACGTTTAATCGTACCCATACACATCCCTCGGTTCGGAAAATGCGTACAATCGATTGGATAGACTCCTCTATATCAAACAGACTCTTATCCCTTTTTTTTTTTATACACGTCCGCTGAAATTCGTGGTTGATTTCCTTATTAGGAAGAGTTTTTACCTTAGCATAACGACTGTAGTCTCGATGATCAGTCTGGATTATGAATGTTTTAAGATTCGAGAATTCAGAAAAACGCTATGACCGAAAATATGTTAACAACTCTTGGTTCCGACACTAAATTCTATAAAGATCGAATAGAGATTCTCGTTTCAGATTTAGTATATTTGAAAAGAAATAGAATAAACGAGATTGAGGACGTGAAGAATTAGAGACTATTTAAAGTGCGTATCGGCAAAAAATACGAATCTTTTAAATACGCTATTCGTTTGGAAGGTTGCAATTTTTTTTAAACGACGTCAGATTCAGTTCGAGGTATTATCCTACGGAGATGAATGATACTTGCACGGAGAACGTGCGAATAGCGTAATCTCGCCTTAGATTACTTGGTCGGAAAGGAGAGTCTAGTTTATTATTCAACGGTTTCGGCTTTACGATTACGCCTTGAGCACACGCTTGCAATAAACAATGATGTGAGCAATGCGAATCTCGAACTTGCACATCCCTTTTAAAATATAGAAGTCACTTTCTCGACTATACGATCTTCTACTGTAATCGCGTTACCTAAATTGATTATCCGTGCGAATCCGAGCACAACTTTCAATAGTCGGAATAGAAAAGACGCGAGACGATCTCCCGTCAGGACTTTTCCCTAATCGCCGTGAGAACACATTTTTCGGAACTGCGCTCGCTCACGAATTTTCATGTTCCTCTCTTAAACTTCGATTTAATCCACACCTCTGATCATTTGTTTCATTCAAAAGTAATGGTACCGTGAACTGAGAACTGCAAGTCGGATTTCAATTAGTATAAAATCAATTAACCGGACTTAAACCGACCGATCGCGAATCGTTCTCGAAGTACACAATTTCTTAATCAGATGTTTCGCACAATGAAGGAACACTCGTTTAAGTGAAGTTCAAACCACCGTTCGCAACATATGGCAGTGTAATTATACCGCAGTGTTTACGCATGGGAGTGATTCAAGATTTACTTAACGAATAATTGCACGTCCATCTAAAGTTCACTGTCATTTCTTTTTAAAGTACCATCGAACGCCCGTCGGTACGATTATCAAAGTCCCAATATCCCACTAGAATTCTACTTGCCATCATCAAATTTCACCACTCGTCCCGTTTTATTATCATCGAGGCGAGTTGCTTAGAATTTGGATTCAGTTACCGCCTCGTAATCCACGAAACTCACCTTCTTACTCTTCGAGTTGCCCTCTGGGGGCAACCCCTAATGCTATACAGATATCTCCTGTATTTGCACGCGTTTCTTGATCGTATTCGTGCCGCTACCGGTGCTCAAAGAGCTAGTGGTTCTCGTGGGTGGTTTCGGAGGCACAGGGTCCTTGTGTATAGCATTACTGGTCCCATGGCCAGGTTTTTGCTCGTTCCTACACTGTTCGTCCACTTCCGACTGTTGGCTCTGTGGAATCTGTTCTTGGATAGAAGGACTCCTAGCTAAAGTAGTGTACGACGGTGGAGGTTCAGGCCTGGGGCTGTCCGAACCCTTTATAGACGACCTTGTGGTCATAGGCAGAGATTCTTGTCCATTCGGCGTGCAGTTCATCGCCGCTCTCTTCTTGTCTCTGTCCCGTTGATAGTAAATCCCAGCGAATATCAACATGTTCAATACTAGCAGAATGCAACCGATTCCTACTGTGATAGCCAGGGCTGCGGTGCTGCTGTAATAGTGACGGGAAGCCAGCCTTTGCAGTAATTCAGCATCGTCTTCGGAATCGTCTAAAGGTGTGATGTCTTCTGTGATGGTGTCCTCGCTCGTAGAAGTGCTGCACGCCGTCGTCGACGAACCGCTGGTTTTGGTCGTTCCTACGAGGGGCAACGGTGTGTACCATTCGTCCCGAACTGGTCCTACGACAGTCCATTTAAAGAGGATAAGTGCAAGTCAGATGAGTGAGAGTGATAAAGTGGATGCGAGTTTTGTTTCTCACCTGCGTAAAAATGATCGCCTCGTTCTCGGAAATGATGATGCCGCATGGAAACGTCGTCGTCCCCGGGTCTGTGAAGCTGTGGAATGAGATTCAGCCACACTGCCATTTTATGTCCCCGATAATGGCTCCGCATTTTCGGTTTCATCGCTAGAAAAATTAATTATACTCATTAAATGTGTTATTTATGCGGAATGCATTTCTATTGTAATGAATATTGTATTGTATAGAAATTAACGTCGTGCTTACCAATCGTGAGATACTGCTGAGTGCCAGTTTCGTATTGTTCCCATGTCAAGCCATGGTACCGCGTTTTTTCTTTTGGTAACCCGTAATCGACCGACTCGATTTTGTGCGGCTCGTTCGGGTTGCCCGTCTTCGCGAAATTCGTGAAGAACGTGAGGACCGCCTCGGCCACCCCCTGGTCCTGCCGAGAATAATTCCGGGGGATGAAAGCTCCTCCGGCGACCAACGGCAACCCGAAAATGTACGGTATCATCTCGCCACGAATGCTTCCCAAACGCTGAAACAAAACAATTCCCATTGTTAAGAAAAACAGATTAAATTCTGATTATATGTGTCTTCATTGCATATTTTATTTAGATAAAAATCGTTCGATTTCGAAACTGGATCAGCACGAAATTAAAAGAGAAAATGCTACGACTCGATCGAGCGATTTTATACGGCGATGGAATTCCTCTTTGAGGGTGGCTGAGCAGCGACGGGACAACGGGCCGACCTGTTCGCCGGGCCGGCGCTCTACTCAATAATTGTAATTGCGGAGCGGTGTGTATCGTGCTGGTACGCGGCCAATTTTGTTTGTGTTCCGGCAAACGGCGAGTTGCGATGCAAATCCCGTTAATTCGTTGCACAAGCAAGGGGATATCCGACTTAAGTGTCGACCGTCGGCCCCGGATGCCCTTATCCACCAGATGCTAGTGGATCCGGTCGGTACCGGAGGTGTGTGTGTGTGTATGTGTGTGTGTGTGCATACATTCCGAAGAAGCGAACGGTGAATTAGCATACTACCGGCGAATCTGTAGTCCGACGTCTTGCAATCCTCGAATCGCATCGTCTAATGGATCAGCCGTTTAGTCTGTTAAATTCGTTGCCAAACTCAGGCAAAGCTCCTTTAATGTGACGGAACGTGTTACGGTATTCAAATGAGGAATTTGAAAATAAAATACGTGCTGTGTCGCAAATACGAAAACAGCTTTTGGCAAATAGTAGAAAAAGATTGGAAGCCAACGATTATCACTTCACTAATACAATTAAAATTCCTCCCCTCAAATATTTTTCAACATGTACTTGAATATTTATTATAAAATGACTTTTATCGACACATCTGAAATTTTAATTAATAGTACATTATGTTAAATTGAATTATTGATTTTATCGGAATTAAGAAGGATCGACTTTAATAGAGGGACTTGTTAATCCTAACCACGGGCCGCGAGCCCGCGACCTGATCTCCGTTTAATTAAATTTCGCTTTGTGCGTACACAGCTGGTCATACTGCGGCAAGCAAACGCAGTGAATCGTTATTAACTATGGCCTGCAGGTGAAACTTGTTAACTTCAAGTTGCCACACCTTTGACTCTCGAAACACAAACGTCCAACGTTTAGAAAAAAACAAATTAGTCAATATAAGACTAAACGGGATAAATAAAATTCAGATAGAGATCAGAATTCTTAGAAATTCAATCAGTATCTTACGGTTTTCGTACTTGTCTGATTAATGATAGACCTGTTCTACTTACGCGCATACATTACATTACATGCAGAGTACAAGTCAATGTAATAACGATTCTATATTATTGTCAATATTTTATATATATATATTTTTAATAATTCTATAAATTTATGATCATTTTTTTACAATGTATGCATGAATAATCGTATTAAATATTTGTAGAGGACTCGGTCCCAATTATCTGATAAGAAGGAAGTAGCTTATTCTTCGGTACAGTTAAATTTTACGTCTAACACAAAGGAAGATGGAAAAGTTGGTTCGTGCCAGTTAATTTAATAGCGGAGCACTGGAGGTTCCCGTACGCGCAGATTGCCACTCCAATCTTCCGTTTCCTTGGCATCGATTCTCCTCCCGGCCAGGAATCCTCCACTGGTGTCTCCCGTTAACCGCTGCCCATGATTTCGCGATGAAGCTACTGATTTAATCAAACGCCCCAAGAACCTTGCTGGTGGGACATTCGCGTTACCCAGAAGCCACCGCCAGTGTAAATTAAGCGCGACGCAATCCCCGATCCCCTGATTTTCTTTCCGGGCGATCCCAGAAGTTCAAGGCACCGCTGATTGCATCAGCTGATCTGATAATACTGATTTTTCACAGTAGAATTAACACAGATAATCGACACTGAATAAAAATAATTGTACCACGAATATTATTTAAAAAAACTCAGCTATAAATTATTATTTTCAAGAATAATAGACAACAACCGTGGATTATTATTCTTGTTGAATAAATGGGAGCAGAATGGAAATACAAGAGTTAAATTCCTCGAGACGGTTACGTCGCCAAAAATAACGCAGACACTCGGGCCAGACTTAACTCTCTGTGCGTATAATTTTATGCAAAATTAACTCGTACTTAAGCCGCTTGCCGCTTGCGTCAACTCGGAAACTGGCGTGCCACTGTCGCATCTCTCCGGGAGGAAGAACGTGTACTTAAGAAATTTCACGAAGAATCAAAGGGAATAAAAAAGAAGAACAGTTACACGAGGAACAAGTTTATGAAAGAAGCCCCGGTTTATTTGCGACTCTTCACATAAACGTCGGTGCCAAGTCAGATCCTTTCATCCGCTGCTCTCTCCGCATTTACAGGAATGAAGATAGTAAATGACACAGACGACTTATGTTCTAAATAAAAAGATACCTCGTTTAAAATAACAAGGTTTAATTTCTTCAAGAATGAACGAATAAATATGAGAAGGAATCTTCAATTGATAACAACTGAAATCGGATTTATATAAGAGATAAATGACGAACCTTGATGCCGCTGTCCTTCGTTTGATGACTGAAGTGATAGAAGTACGTCTTGGCACCCCTTCTGGCGTGATAAAAGGCGATCCTCATCAGCGGTGCGACGGTGTGGCCGTCGCTAAGCGCCTCCATCGTCGAGTCTCTTATAATAATAGGATGGAGAACAGGCTTGTCCCAGTCCGTGTACTCGTTCTTCACCGCAGAGAATATCTCGTTCAAGTGGTAGACGTACGCGTTTCTGATGAACGTGCGTAGAATGCGGTTGCGGTCCTTCTCCTCGAAACCGAATTCGATGTCGTTCTCGTTGAAGTCGAGGTTCGACTCTGTGGTGGACACGCCGAGGATCAGAGGCACCTTGATGAACGTGTCGCTGACCCTCTCCATGTCCAGGCCTGGATCGGGATTGTTTTGGTCCACTGGTAAGCCTGGTCCGATACGTGGCACAAATCTAAATCAAATCATTAGATGTAATTAGATGTAATTTAATTTTATAATCATTTCATTTATTAGAATTCTTTATATGTTGTATTAATTATTTTTTAAGTCTGATTCAATCCCAGTTATTTATCATTATATTCGTGATGATAATAGTGTGGATGATTTCATGGCTGAACTGAGAGCTAATAAGAGCATCAGGGATTATGAATTAATTATGCCAGGTTAGCGGCTTACTTGTGCTTTGATCAAGGATAAATGGAACGTTGAACGTGGCTTAAGGATGTATAGGCTACGTACTTAAACAATGCTAACGTATTGAATTTGTTATTATAAATTCCTATTACTATTAAAAAGCTACATGCAAAATTTTA